TCTGTGGAGCACCGAGCATCAATTTAACAATCAGAAAGCTGCCCCTAGCTTTTTAATTCTAACATCAGTGTTGAGAGGATTACCACGGGCCTGCAATGACAAAGGAGTGTGTGTAATTGAATGGCTTTTCTGACTGACGACTTTAAGTTGTTCAATGAGGTTCTGCCGCAACTCCAAATGGAAGCAAGTTGGTTTACGAATGCAGCATTTGATTGGCCCGACTTTATTTTGAGTCATCTTGATCCGAATCATCGAACAATTTGTGGGTTATACGAAAGAAATATACTACAAAAGCCCGTTAGAACCAATTAATTAATTCATTCATTCATTCATTCATTCATTGATTCGTTCGTTCGTTCGTTCGTTCATTCGTTATTTTGTTTGGGGGGACATTTTTAAACTTAAACGAAGGTTTGGTACGCGGACATTGCCGTACTTCACGTCTTTAATGTATAAATGTACATGAACGATTTCAGGTCATAGTAGAAGTGCCGTTTCTGGGTCCGTAGTTTCATGAAGGCCGCGATGTCTATTTTAGTGGGGGTTGAATTTTTTTCCTTCTTTTAAAATTTCCTTTTTGGGGTTTTTTGTTGTTTTGTTTTGGGGGTTTTTTTGGGGGGGGGTTAGGAATTTGTTTGGGGGGATTTTTTTTAATTTCCCCCTACGGAAGCCCGTCAGTGCCAATTAGAACACATGTGAATACATATAATATTGCTTAATTAAGCAGCTTCTTTGCGAAAAAAATGCACTATTTCTACGGACATTTGGGGCACGTTCGCGAGTAGGATGCGTGCGCATTATACCCAGGTGCAAGAGTATATACTCCCCCGTTAGCGAGAGCGGGTCCCACGCCAGCCGTTCGAACGCTCGGGAGTATCATGTTAGCACGAGTAGCTCGCTCGGACGCACCCCCTGCGCGTCTACTCCAGTATGAAAAGAGCAACATCAACAATCGATGTCTAATTCTTTCCCCTGGACAATCCGTAATAGGCCAAACGTCGTTTGAGGGTCCTTGAACTTACGATGATACCATGATAGACTGCTAAAAACCACAATATGTGATCATAACTCAAACCAAGAGAGAAGTAGAAGCTCACTAGTTTGTGTCATGACATGCTTAGCTCTCCTCGATTACTGTTTCACGGGAAATCACCTGCACTGCTCACTGAAGGGTGCTTTCGCCCGGCTGGAGTGCGACCCGCTGGTCAACGAGAGTATACTCCCTCAAACAGAGGAGTATACTCCTGCATCTGGGTATAATGTGCACGCATCCTACTCTTGTTAACCGGAGTAACGTGCCCCAAATGTCCGTAGAGTTATTGAATTATTTCGCAAAGAAACTGTATTATTTTGCAGTAAAAATATACGTGTATTTGCCTACTTCAAATTGGCACTAACGGGCTTCCGTAGGAGGAAATGAATGAAAGAATTTTTTTTTAATTCTAGAAAAAAAATTAAAATTCCTCCCCCCCCCCAAAAAAAAAGTTTTCAAAAAAGCAAATTAAAATAAAAATGTGGGCACTAACGGGATATCGATTTCGTACATCACTATAGCACACACGCAAATTTTATTTTTGTGATATACCTGAAGTCTGACTTTACGGGTAATTCATTGCATAAAGGGAGAGGGTGTGTTCTATTTTGGATAGGCCCTCTTTGCTAATCTGTAAAAATACGTCCCTCTGTTCATGCTAAAAAGCCTGGTTTAGTCTCTTGAAAGTCGGGGCTTCCTCTATAGCCAGAAAATAAAACAATTGCAGCCACCCTCAAGCCAAGTCCCATAGGACTGTGTGTGAAGTGGCCCCATGTGTTTATACGAGGCATACACAGACGGTGCCTGGTGGGCCAGAACGTTCCTTATCAGCGACAGTAGCTTGCCAGTAGCATGTGGCAGCTGTCCTTATCCCTGGGGCGAGGGACCGTGTCCATTAAAACGGCCCACGTGGCGCCATGTGCCAAAATTGTCTCAGATTTATTTGTGGATAAAGCAATCCCTATTCAATGTCTTTTTTAGTCTTCTTCGGTATAAATCAGATGGAAACCTTCCTAGGAAGACTTCTTTGTGGCGGAAGTGTCCTTTTGGGGGGCGTGGTCTGCAGTGGGGGGCGCTGAATTCAACAATACGGAAATACATCAGCGTTACCAAAATACACGGGAAATTCCCGCTGTACATGCTTGAATCGCCGTGACTCACCCATCAGGGGCCTTTAGAGCACAACAGCTGGGCCCGGACAGTGTAAATAATGCCACGTGGCCAGCCTCTCCAGACCCAGGCTCGGCCCTGTCAATCACAAGGTTTATCCAGGACTCCCGGTCAACACACATCTGTTTACAGTGCTGGCGCCAACCACAAGCTTCCAGATACATTGGCAAGCATCCCAGACATTGGCCTGATGCATTCTTCAAAGGGGGGGGGGGTATTTTAGAGGGGAGTAGGCATTGCGTGCATTATCATGATATAGCAGTGTTTTGTGCACACACATAGGGGAATGGATATGGACCTCCCCGTTTCAGTCACTGCCCGGGTGATACCAAGATTGACACCCCTCTCAATAGTTAGGTGGGGNCCCTCTAAGTATATTGCCATTTTTAGAGGAATAAAATGATAAAATACCATCTGTGGGTAAAATTATGGTCTGTATCCTTGTGGCCGTCTTGCCGGGCTTAGTGGCTTTGCAGTAGAAGACACCTGTTCTGTCAAGCCCATCGACTTCGGGTAGCTGGATTTGTCTGAGTTGACATCCTAGTTGTTGGCTCTGCAGCTCTTTTGAACGTGAAGGCAGTTCATTGTTGGCTCCTCCCGTAATCAACTGCCGACCGAATAACACGGCAGCGGTGATATCTCTAGGGCCTTTGTAAGCTCCAATGGTTGCATCGTTGTTTCCAGCGCCACCAAGTAGAGCGGGGTTGGTGACGATTGTAAAATCCACTGCCCCACCTGTAGTGACAGATGAAAAAAGGAGTCATTGATCTTCAACCAGTGCAATGGCTGATCGTTTATTGAATTCTCAATCTATATCCCAAAACAGACTTCACTAAATTTTAAGTTACTGCGTGATTGTATCACTCCTAATGGGCTTTGATATTGGCAGCTGTACAGTAATCACTTCATTGATGATGCACAAAATATGAAGCATGCGACTTGACAAGAAGGGAGGCAGAAGAGTTTCATGTTGCGCAATCATGTATGTTAAACTATACCCGACATTACACCTGTGACTGCGCACCGATTTGCCCCGTATCTTAGGCTCTGCGATTATGCAGTTTTGAAAACGTACCTACTCCATCTTCATCTGTGAATTCTTCAACGTAGACTTCACGCATGTGAAGTATTTTATTTGTACCAGGAAGATCCACTCTCACATAACGGGCAGTGACTGCAGGGTCGGCTCTGAAGTCAATGCTCGGCGTTTCGTGAGTGGCTTGCTCATCTGTAACTGCTCCTATCTCTCTGTTCGAATTATGATTTGGACTCAATCCAGCACTAATTACAGCACCTGCTAGACGGCGAGCTATGATTGAAAATCAACATTGAAAAAGCATTGTCTCATTTTACATTGGACACATTATCTATTTTAAAGCATTCTGAAATACTTTAAACAAATAAAGTTTCTGGCCATTTATATAGAGCTCCGTTGGTTTAAGTTATCTTGTACTGATACTAAATACGTTACTCCTGTGAAATGTGAGAATTTAAAAGAATGTATTTTCAGAGCTTTAAATAGTAAAATAGTAAATAGTAATGAATGGAATCACAGAAAAGCTGAAAATTGTATTTGGATTGGCTGTCGATTGTGACTCTGCTGGTCGAAATTTTCCTTCCATTTCCAGGTGAAGATAAATGTAAAAAAATTAATAAGGATCAGTTTTGCCTGACTTTCCGGTATACCATGAGGGTGAAAATGAGCCATAAAACAGAACGTATGATTGCAGAGCGAAAGGTTTGTTTTGCGCACATTGTTGAGTGTTATAAATCCACATTTGGGCTGTTGAAGAATACCGACGGGAGTGATAGTTGATTTCCTTGCCCAGTAAAACAATTTGGAAGAGTATTTGATTTGTGGACAACGAATATTCGTCGATCATTAAGTAAACTCTTCGTTGGGTTTGCCTCAATAGACTTCAAAATCATAAGGCAAATGGACAACACATCATTCCACAAAAATGCACAAGCGTGTGGACCAGGTCGTAATGCAGATCAGAATAACTGTGGATGTGTCAGAAGATAGATAAATTACCCAGTTCCTGACGCTTTAAGTGTACCAGGATTGAAATATACAGGTTTGATCCGATTTAATGTGGACTCTAAAGCCGGTTCAATCATTTGGATTTTTATGAAAGAAATATTCCATTCACAACCGGTATGCTAACACGACGCACCAATCCACACTGACTCAAACTCAACCCAATGAACTGAACAAAACCAACGGGACTCGAACCGAGTGGGGTTTAGGTTCGGCCGCTTTTTACGGAAGCTTTGTAGTGCCAAGGGATAGGATGCGAACTTTTTTGGTATGTAGGCCTACAGTGTGTTAACATTTTGCTCTATTTTCTGACGCGCCAGGAAATTTTTGGGTAGCGGCTATGTAATTATATCTGTGCTGGAACATTCAGAGTATGTCCCGATGATGAATCGACCCACATGTTGCATAGTGCCCCAGGTTAAGTTACAGAGAATTGTCTGGAGGCTACTAGATGTTGTGCCCCGGAAAGAATTACCTATTGCACTATTAGACGTCCGTACGCAAACCAGTATTATTCTAGATAAATAACATCAAATATTGTCGTTTTAAACTGAGTGTTTAAGTTCCTGACTAAATGCATTCATTCTACTTGTGTTGTGAATGTTCTTAATTTTCATGCCAGCTTTGCAATAAATTCTCTGTACGGTGCTCCTACATTAATTTTGTCGATGAATTGTCAGGGTTGTTACATTGGCCATCTGGTTCAAAATGCAGCTTCAAGAATTAATCTGTCGACTTTGACATGACAGTTATCAAAGACAATCGCATTAAAAGTAAAACGTTTGAAAGTATTGACTAGAAATAAGAGGAATAACTCAGGTTGAAACAATATTATACGGTCACAACAGCGACATTACCACAATCGGGCGAACCTGCTCCACATGTCTGATCATTTCTGTTATGTATGGTTATCATTCTCAAGCAGTACGTATCAACCAGGTCTAGTCTCCACCATGGATTCGTCTTATCTGCACCGCTGCTAAAAGCTGAGGTAGTTGTGAAACATGAATATTTAACAAAGCATGAGTACATTTTCTACGATTCTATATGAAGTTGATTAATAGCCCATAACAGCTTGCTTTAACGCTTACAAAGTTCTGGAGGTTCCTTACGGTCTCAGGGCAAAGACATTTTGGCTCAATTATATTTAATTAAAAAAATCAAGTGAGTTACTCACAAGTTGTTTCGTTGATATTTAAGTTACTTTTCATGAAAGATGAATATTTAACCCAAACTGAGAGCAAGAATGCTTCACTTACCAGTATGTGTATAAGTTGTCAAGTTGCCGTCTATAGCTTTGCGTGGGCCGTGATTCTGAATATCGGAAGTCGAGCTCTGATTTGCCCATTTCTCTCGCAACTGCAAGGGCGCTGCTGCAATTTTAAATACACTAGATATTACTTTCAAGGGTATACATTTAGGGAATGAAAATGTGACGGGGCTAGTGGCTAGCGGTTTCAAACGTAATAATTTAAAACCGATTTGTCACACTTTTAAATTATTTAATTTTTTAATCACTCGTGCAGTTATTGCAAAAGTTGTGCATAAATTATCACTATAATATTTAAATCCTTTATCAGTGTTGTAGTGGGACCATTTAAGACCTTCACAATACCACACAAGCCCAGCACAAGACCAACACAAGACCTCCAGTCTGAATTTAAGTCACAAGCTATTCCTTTGTCATTGTTCAACCTGTTACTTGTGACTGGTCTTGTACATGGTCTTGTGCATGGTCTCGTGCCTTGTCTCAACTACAACACTGTCCTTTATTAAGATAATGGTTACGAGCAAAAAAGAAGAAAAACAGAGAAATAAAGAACAGTGTTTGGACAAATATAAAACAATCAACTGGAGTGTTTCTGTGTGCGTATCAACCAGTATGAATATCAGCTATCAGAAAACTCTAGTGTTGTGAATCATGTCGTTGGAAGGGCAAAAACCAATATTTGAAAATTTAGATATTGAGTTTTTCATAGGGTTAAAGATCTATTTTTATATTCACTCCATAAAAGGATAAATTTACTTACAGTATGGCTCTGCTGTAGGCCAAAGTGAATTCGTATAACCGAACGAATGGAAACGAACTAAAACGTCAGTTTAAAGGATTGAACTGCTTGAAGAAATTCAGTTAGGCTTCCTTCCTGTATCGATCGAATTAACTTCTTAAAAATAGTAAACCAACCACAAGAGCATTAACTTGTGCCTGGTCTCTCTTGTCAGTGTCCAGGGAATAACTTCTCAGGTTATTGTTGTGTCACTTGGGTCAATTTGTATCGAAAACCTATTATTTCATATATTATGCAGTTTTTCAATAGAAAAAGTCGAACCTTGCCGAAACTATTACCCTTAAGCCTACCGCATACGATCAACTTACTAGACAGAAAATTTAACCCCTAACATCATCCACTTTACAATTTCTACGCGACATTTCTTATTCCTTGAGAAAAGGTAAGTGTACCAGAAAGGCGGACTCGAAAACAGTATCCACTCTGGGCAGGATAAAACTCCACGAAATTCACGGGGCCAGGCAACTCGATTTCTTTTTTTGTACGGTTGTTACCTCATAGGCAATACAAGGCGTTGTTACTGAATTGTAAATGATAATCCTTAAAGAGCTTTTCATTACTACTGTAATTTTTATCAGATTCTTTTGGTTTCAAAGCACAGAGATCCTTTGTTGCGTTTACAGTTTCGTGAGCCCGTTAAGGAGCATTTGCATGCATGTACGTTTTTTGGGAGCGATGCGTACACGATGCGTTCATGCGTACGTGCATTTATTATGGACACAAAAAAAGACCCATCACACGTGTTTGTTGCGTTATTCAGCCCTCAAAATGGCCCCGGGAGCAATTTTGGCAGACACGCAATGCTTGGCGCAAGTGTTGACGCGCATATGGAAAGGCACCTTTATGCTGGAATTTCTGAGTACGTGCGTCAAACTTCTCGTAGAAGGTTCGGTTTGTGCTTTTATCCTTTTGGCAAGTCATGCTAGAAAACTGTCCACCGCCTACCGTTGAGGGTGCACTTCAACCCGGGACAGATTGCAAAGGCCTTCGCGACGATGATTGGAATATGGGCTGCGTCTGAAGAATAGACCATGGAGTCAAGATTTCATGGGAAGTGGGTAAAGTGTTTAAATCCAGTGCATTTATTAAATTCATGACCACCAACAACAACAACAACTGCCCACGTGATGACCATTGAGGAGACTGTCGGGCATTTATGAATGGTATTTCTTTTGCAACTAAACGGTGATTAGGGCCTAAATGGTGACGAAGGGTAGGCCTAATGCAACAAGTAATGCAGGGATGGGTCGAGTAGCAAAGGCATAAACAAATAAAATTAAACAGAATCAATATGAAATACTAAATAAATTGAACAGAACAAAAGCCTATAAGTATAAAAGCAATTAGAGGCTTACACGTGCAGACGAGTTTCGAGAGATGTTTTGAAGGTGTGGATGGCTCTAAGTTTTGACGTGAGTAGGTAGGGGTAAGTATAGTCTGATTTCGGCTCGTTCAGTGGATGCTCGTTACCGGATCGATGAAGGCAGGAAGGTTATTTACAGGCAGCATGTCTATTATATGGATGACATTGCCATTACTAGCACTACACGCCAACAGCATAAATTCATCAATTATCCAGATAGGTGACCATTGTAGATTTTTTTAAAGATCAGGACGATTGTCAACTCTCTCCAGTTTACTTTCAGTAAAATTTTGTCGATGCCACGTCATGATGAAAGTCATCATTGATAATTGTCTTCAATCAACGGGTGGATACCACTCTAGTGAGGAAAGCTGGCTGATTTAGCCTTAATTTTTTCAGCTATGATGGGGACCTGTATTAAGGTGAAGGTCGAGAATCGGACAATCCTCACCAGTAGTTAATAGTTTCAGTAAACAGTACTTTCCAGCACCATGAGCGGGGCCAGTGATGTGCTGAACAAAACTGTATAATATAAAAAGAAGCCTCTTGAAGCAATTGGCCGAAGGATCACTGGGTTATCATCATAAGCGTTGAAATAGCCTGTACTATGATGTCCGATGTCGGATGGGCGCACAAGAGGGTTCAGTCATGTAAAAAAAAAAAAAAAACCTTGAAGGATTAACGTATTTTTGATCACGAGCAGGTGGGTCCTTGATAAACATTCACAAGCCCCATTGATCCGAAGTCGGAGCTGACTTCGGCGTCAATGGGTTCAAAATTCTCTCCATAGACTAACATAGGTCCGACCTCTCCTGTTTTGTGAAGTCTTGGGACATGGGTGAAATGAGTAGCCAGCTGGTGTTAACTCCTCCATGGTCAAATCACCCCCAGATTTCAACCAAGAGATATAATGACTGTGGCTACTTGTTTTCCAGAACAAATTCAACAAACTTGAATTCCAAATGGGCTTGACATTTAGAGGAGATAACCATAGGTTGGATTAGATGAGGGGGCCAAGTTTTTGTCAGATTTGTGAAACGAATCCCCGAATTTTTTTCAGTAGAGGATTGCTTTTTCCGTTTAACTGAGCACACCTGAAGTTTCCGTTGCTTCCACGTGCCACTACGCGTGCTATTAAACTTTCGATTTGGAGTCGTATGTTGCATGTTAACCTGTAACATGTACACCAGGTGTTTCCATATAATTTGCGAACCTGCAAATATTAGGCCTATTCTTAGGATCTGCGATCAATTTCAATCCAACCTTTAATACTTCATCTGGAAGCAATATTATTTTTTCAAGCTAAGGAGTAACTAAACTCAACTGGACGAAGACAAAAAGGTTTGTTTTACTTACCGCCGTTAAGAAGAAATGCTGTGAGCAAGAGTACGAAGACTGCTATACCTTTCCAGTGCAACATTGACGCCATAATTAACTGGCTCTATTTGTTCGGTAGTTTGCAGGGTTCAGAAAAAAGTGTCTCTTTCGTGTGAATTCATGCGTATATAGCTATGTATACTTAAACATGACCTCCTGTAACCTTCTTGTTGCGTGGTGCTCCCAGTTTGAGAAAAATGAACCACACTTAGTTGTATAAAACGGCATGGGTTAGAAGACAAACTGCAATTTTGATCACTTCCTGGTCGTAAGTGTAAAAGTAATACGTGAATCCACTCCGTTCCGATTAAACTAACCCTACTGCGTATGAGCTGGAGGAGTGGACGAAATAAAGGGCAAATAAATTTAATGCGCATGCACATTCAAACACGTTTGTAGATGTTAATAATTCTCCTTTGAACGTTGGGTTTTGCAGGAAGTGTATGTGCTGGTACAGCTGTTTCTCACCAATGACGCGGGTTTGTACTATGATATTCTTAAATTACCCTTTGAACTTTTTGTCTGGTGTTCCGTCAAACTATGTTTAAGGGACATTGTGTAAAAACGGTTGCAGTTTTTATCGTCCAAAGTGAATGGTTTCTTGTCACAAAAATTGATTCACAATCTCAAGCGCGTTTTGCAAAAAAATAATGATTTCATCAGACAAAGCGCCCTATTATTACTCCCGTTCCCGCAAAAAGGACATGTGAATACCCCCAGCAACACAAAGACGAGTCTATCGGGTGTCACAAATTCAATACTCTCATTTAACTGAATACAAATTCTAACTTTCTGTTTGCATCATGCAGCGCTCCACGCCCTAGATTTAAGGCAAAAGTACAAACTTCAACCGTGAATAACGTAACAGGTAATTAAAGACACACTCAAAACCTGTGTTCTGGCGGGTTTCCTTTTAAAATTTTTTATTTACTCCACGTCTATGCCAGCAATGCTCAACGTTCAGCACGGAATTGTACGCGTGATCAGTCTGTTTAGTTCCTCATAGTGCAATGCCAACTATAATACAGAAATAAACCTTTACCCTCGGCACTCATGCTCTCTGGATATTTCTCTGGATACATGCAGGAAAATGTAAACAAAGTTATAGACAGACTGGGAAAATAATGAAACTACACTAATGAAACGAGATAAACATCGTTGGCGAATGGTTGTTTCCTCAAGCCATGAAGAGCACTGATAATTTGTTGGAATTTGTACCATGTCTGTGATGCCGCTGAATGGCACCAAGTAATCATTAACTTCTGTTCATGGAACAGCGGCATACCCGACACACAGGAGGAAAGAAGTCAATCTGGACACTTTAACATTGTTCTTATTCGGGGCTCAGAAATCCTTGTTTTCCCTGTTTATTTTAATATAATTGATTTTATTTTGGTTCTAACCTGAATATCATTCAATAAGTTGAAACATGCATCCTGTATCCCCTATAAAATGGACGTGATATCCTTTAATGTAAACAACATGTGCATTATACGTGACTGTTTTGTGCCTTGTTTAGTTTGTTCCAGTAATGCACTGACAGCAGTGAAAAAGAACAGTCAGAAAAATCTTTGCAGACCGCTTCCCTCAGTGAAACTGGATTAAATGTGCCATTTAATCTTCACTTGTGCAGATACTGACATGTACATGTTTGGACCAAACTCGTGTGCCTCAGCAACGGCCAAGTTAAAGTACGTGCCGTAGCCTGAAAACAAGTTAAGATTGTAATTTACAACCCATTTCTTGTTTGGGTCTTCCTTGTATCCCTCCGTCCAAATATACACATGCATAATTTATGCCTTCTTTGGAAATGCAGTTTTCAAAGCAGGAAGTAAGCAAAACATTTCCGGGTCACTTTGGACAAGTGAGATAAACATCTCATTGCTGTTGAAACTATGAGTAGTTTGATGGCACATGTTGAACTATGTGAAGTACGGGTAACTTCGTGTCTTTTGATGTTTATATTTTGGCTCGTTCCTGAAGGCATTTTAATTGACTTTAATGACACTTGTTGATTATGAGTATGTCTTGTAAGGTTTGGAAAATGAGCCTAATTGTTCATTGTAAAAATATATTCATGTGTATGGAGACTGCCCTGTCATACATGAGGACGCTGGCTGAAGGTTGTCCAGTTTTCATGAGGTCGTGTGTCATTTAAAGGCCATAGTTAAGGCCTAGGTTTAACCTCATCTTACAAAGGGGTAAAGACAGTGGCGTGGTAACACTATGAATTTCAGCACCATGAATTTGCAGTTAATTTCCAGTTTCACTGTGAAATTGTTTTTTCCCTGCAACTTCGTGGCAGTTCACATGGTGAAAACAACGTGAAAATGCAGTGAGCACATCTAGGGGGCCTTCCTCATTAACTTTGCGGTGGGGCTAATCCTTTAAATGCTTTACGGACCCATTATCTGAATCCCTCATAAAAAGTACCATTACCTGTATTCTTATTGTGGTGGTGACAGGTGTAAATGTACACTGAACACCCCAATCACAATATTCGAATCCTTGCAATGTACATGTAACCCCGGCCAGGTTGTTCATACACTACATCATGGCCTGTACCTGAATGAGAACATTGTAGGGACTTCAGTAAAACGACTACCCACGAATTATGTCACCTCACAGAAACATTTATTTCAATTTTCTGGCATATCTGTGAAATGTTATATTTAATTTGGTTGAGTAGAGCTATACTCACGAATATTCTGCAGTCAGCACCGAGTGCACTCTGTTATACATGATGTTGGAGCAGAAAACACTAGTGCCAAAAAGAATGTTGAAATTGGGGGAAGAAGCAGACTAGTGAAAATTCTGCTTATGGACTAGTAAAAAGCCATCACTGCTGGTCCGGCTGGCAAGTGAGAAAAACGTTACGGGCAAACCCTGTCCATGCACGATGTCATATGTACACTGCGTTTGCTGGATTGGACAATGATGCACATGCCGTTGCTATCCTCGCTCGCTCTGATGCTACATTGTCGGCTTTGTTATTCCACCACTTTGTATACTTTGTATAGTTTCACAGTCTTTTGGCAATTCCATAATTCGGTGTGGTAACTTCACCACTCAATGTGCCTTTTGCCCACAAAAGTTGGAAGTATGTCTTCTGGTATGTGGTCAAAGGGGGGGGTGTTGTGACATCTAACACCAAGTTTCATGAAATTTTATTAATCATGTCACATTTTAGGGCTGAAAAAAAGCTTGTGTCCTTCCTCCATGGTTCTACATAAACAAAATGTGCTTATCAACTTTTCAGCTGCATCCGGCAAATTTGAGCCATCGTAGGTGTATCCATCTCTTCTCACAGCTCAAAAAAAGGAAAAAACAATCCTGTTTTTCCTAGGAAAGACAGGATCCCGTCTTCACAAAACACCTGCTTTACATTCACAACATGTGGAAAGAACATTTTGTGGTTTTCACAAGTTCCCTTCGCATTTCCTTATCACGGTTTCTAAAACACGCACGCAATATTGCTTCATGCAAGGTTTCCGCTGGTTCCGGCCGCTGCGCCGTGCTACTGCCAAAAAGGTGTGATGGCAACGCGGCAACCAGTCCATGCATTAAAATAGCGTTGTGCAATTCACTGTACACACACACACAACTCTACGTGGCTGCACATAAAAAAATGATGTCGCAGAAAGTACAAGTTACGTGTACTTCCCAGAACGTGATTAGTTGGATATTTAAAATGTACGTATTTTTTGTGTTCACAAATTTAATTTAAGGTAACATATATGTTGCTTGATCGGCCTGAGGTGCAACACGACACGACACAACCTCACTAAAGGTTTCATTGGTGTCCGTGGGAGAGGGCGTTAAACTGGCATTGGATGAAATTTCAGGCTGGTCATGGTAAGAAAGACAGCAATAGGTGGAAAGGCTTGCGGTAGCAACATGCGAAGGCATATATATAAACTGGGAAGGAATATAAGTAAACTGGCATTGTTAGAAAATTATACCAGCCAACATCTACTCGGGTCATTTGCAAGAGTATGAGCCGTATGCGCGACTGTCGACCGTGCAATGAACAGTCGCGCTGCGCGCTAGCTACGTCTTTACCTGTAGCACATGAGCCTCATACATTAAGCAGGCAATCACAACTGTTCAGGCTGTGGAATTATACCTTGAACTTGAAAGTGCTGCGCCGGTGATTTAAAACACGAGTCATTAAATGTGAGGAAAGTTTTGGAAATGTGGCAGTGTTCCTCAAATGACCACTGCCGGTTGGGCCAGTGATTTTGGAGAATGCAGTGGCTCAATGAATTTTTTCGTGGCCCCGTGCCAGCAGAGCATCGTCAAGATTGAGCGCGCATGAGGCATGAGTGTCATATACCCAGCAAGAAATGAGACCGAGGGGTACCCTCCCAACATGTCCAATCCCTATACAAATTCCAGACTTGTTACTTAACACGTCCCCCAAGATGTCTGAAAGGAATTCCCCAGATTCCTGCGAGACAATGACCAACACAAAGCAGGGGGGTTCTCTCCGTCTCATACCTTGCTGCATATGGCGTGTCAAGGGCTGACGCGACAGTGGATCTTGCTACAGTACGGTCCCTTGAGTTCGTGATGAGCGAGGAGTTTACACTCCAGACCTAAACAGGGGTATTCAGTCGCTCCTTTTGTTGGTAAATGCTGCGCTAATTCCTGGCTGTCTATCACACTAATCTTTTATTACGCTTCTACAGTTAACCGCTGTTTTCACACCTTCCACAGTGGGAAGCTGGACCAATGTACCGTTACGAATTATAATAGGATCATCAGCTACCAAAATGTTGACGTGAAAAGGCCGTGAAACTGCTGTGAGCTAATCCGCTCCCAAGCTGATCAACTTTCCACCGTGAAAACGGGCTTACATTGCCTTAACAAAAATTTCACGGTGATTTAATGGTAAAACTGCATTTTCAAGGTGCTGAAAGTTCATAGTGGTATATTTTCCTACAAAGGAACACCTACCACTCAGTAGTCTTGTCTGATAAAATCTGGTGTCCAGTCAATGCCTGGAGATGGTATCTGTCCCGAACCAAGAACTCAGGATTACAACAGCCAAC